GACTCGCTCAGACCTCAACGAAACCAACATTCCCATTGTTATTGCTGCTTGCTGTGTGTTCCACAATCTCTGTGAGAGTAAGGGGGAGACGTTTAGGTTGAGGCATATCGCCTGGCCGCTGATTACGCGCAGCCAGACACCAGGGCGATTAGAAGAGCACAGGGCGTGGTGCGCATCAGAGAAGCTTTGAAAACCAGTTTCATGACTGGCCAGGCTATGGTGTGACAGTTCTGTTTGTTTCTCCTTGATGAAAACCTGCCCCCTTGGTTGATTCATTCCCTGTAAGCCACCCACCCTCCCCCCTTCGATCACACTTGCTTGCAAAGGAAATAAAGTCACTATCATTTAAAAATCATGTATTCTTTATTAATTGATTATAAAAATAGGGAGATAACTGACAAGGTAGCCCGGGTGGGTTGTGGGAGGAGGGGAGGAGGGAAGGAAAAGGCCAGTTCAAAACTTGTTGAATGACAGCCTTCTGTTGCTTGGGCTGTCCACTGGGATGAAGTGGTTGGGTGCCCGGAGCCTTCCCCCCCGCGTTCTTGGGCGTCTGGATGAGGAGGCTATGGAACTTGGGGAGGGGAGAGGGCGGTTAAACAGGGGCTGCAGCGGCACTCTGTGATCCTGCTGCCGTTCCTGAAGCTCCACCAGACGCCAGAGCATGTCCGTTTGATCCGGCAGTAGCCCCAGCGTTGCATCCTGCCTCCTCTGATCTTCCTGCCGCCACCTCTCATCTCGATCGTCCCTCCTGTCCTCACGTTCGTCCCTCCTGTCCTCACGTTCATTGGCCGCTTTCCTGTACTGTGATTCTGTGTCCTTCCACACATTCAGATGAGCTCTTTCATTGCGGGTCGACTGCATGATCTCAGAGAACATTTCATCGCGCGTGCGTTTTTTTTTTGCCGCCTTATCTGAGATAGCCTTCGGGACGGAGGAGGGAGGCTTGAAAAATTTGCAGCTGCGGGAGGGAAAAAAGTGAGAGTATTTAAAGATATACATTTTACAGAACAATGGGTATACTCTTTCACGGTGAACACTATTCACATTACATAGCACATGTGATTTCGGTACAAGGTTGCATTTTGCATCTTATATTGCGTGCCTGCGGCTTTGGTGTTAGAGATCACAGACGCAGGGCCGGGCAACAGAATTTGGCTTGCAGGCGGCCATGGTAAGCCATAGTCTTTCGGCTTCTGCAGCCTTCATAAAAGCAGCGCCCTCCTTTCCCATACCAAGCAAAGCCCATTGTGTGCTGCGGTTTTTGTGTTAACATGCAGCAGCAGAAACCAAACTAACCCCCTGCCCCCCCCCATCCAGTTCTCTGGGATGATCGCTTTACCCCTCCCCCCACCGCATGGCTGGTATCAGGGAAGATCCCTGCTAGCCAAACGCGAACAGCTACCCGCCCCCTCCCCCCCCGCTTGGCTAACTGCGGGGAGGATTTCTTTTCAGCCACTGGCAAACAGCCCAGTAGGAACGGCCACCTCTGTCCCCTTCATTAAATTCCTGTATTTCAACCAAGTTACCATGAATGATATCACTCTCCTGAGGATAACACAGAGAGAGAAAGAACGGATGTTGCTTGAATGCCAGCAAACACCGGGACCATATGCTGCCAGGCTTTGTCATGCAATGATACCAGATTACCTGCTACTAGCATGGCATGGTAAAATGTCCTACCATGGAGGACGGAATAAGGCTGCTCTCCCCAGAAACCTTCTGCAAAGGCTTTTAGAGTACCTCCAGGAGAGCTTCATGGAGATGTTCCTGGAGGATTTTCGCTCCATCCTCAGACACATTAACAGACTTTTCCAGTAGCTGTACTGGCCGCGAATGCATCCCAAGTCCTCAGGGCAAATTAATCATTAAAAAACGCTTGCTTTTAAACCATGTATTATATATACAAAGGTACACTCACCAGAGGTCTCTTCTATGGCTTCATGGTCCAGGATACCGCCTTGGGAGGGTATTTCAGTCAGGGTGAGAAAAAGATCCTGGCTGTTGGGGAGAACGGAGTGCTGTGTGCTCTCCTCAAGCTCGTCGTCCTCTTCTTCCCCGTCCGCAAAATCCTCAGGCATGGCTGAGAGTACCCCCTCCTCGGAATCCACGGTCAGGGGTGGGGTAGTGGTGGCGGCCCCCCCTAGAATTGCATGCAGCACAGCGTAGAAGCGGCATGTCTGCGGCTCTGCCCCGGAGCATCCGTTTGATTCTTTGGTTTTCTGGTACGCTTGTCTTAGCTCCTTAACTTTCACGCGGCACTGTGTTGAGTCCCTGTTGTGGCCTCTCTCCATCATGCCCTTTGAGATTTTTTCAAATGTATTGGCATTTCGTCTTTTGGAATGTAGTTCTGATAGCATGGAATCGTCTCCCATACAGTGATCAGATCCAGTACCTCCCGTACGGTCCATGCTGGAGCTCTTTTTCGATTCTCGGACTGCATGGTTACCTGTGCTGATGAGCTCTGCATGGTCACCTGTGCTGATGAGCTCGACTGGCCAAACAGGAAATGAGATTCAAAAGTTCGCGGGGCTTTTCCTGTACACCTGGCCAGTGCATCTGAGTTGAAAGTGCTGTCCAGAGCTGTCACAATGCTGTACTCTGGGATAGCTCCCGGAGGCCAATACCGTCGAATTGCGTCTACACTAATCTTAATTTGAACTGGCAATATCGATTTCAGTGCTAATCCCCTCGTCGGGGAGGAGTACAGAAATTGATTTTAAGAGCCCTTTATGTCGAAGTAAATGGCTTCGTTGTGTGGATGGGTGCATGGTTAATTTGATTTAACGCTGCTAAATGCGATATAAACTCGTAGTGTAGACCAGGCCTCAGTCTTTTCTTTTCCAGACTAAACAAAGATTTTTTCAATCTTCCCTCAGAGGTCATGTTTTCTAGACCTTTAATCATTTTTGTTGCTCTTCTCTGGACTTTCTCCAATTTGTCCACATCTTTCTTGAAAGGTGGCACCCAGAACTGGACACAGTACTCCAGTTGAGGCCTAATCAGCACAGAGTAGAGCGGAAGAATTACTTCTCGTGTCTTGCTTACCACACTCCTGCTAATGCATGCCAGAATGATGTTCGCTTTTTTTGCAACAGTGTTACACTGTTGACTCATATTTAGGGTGACCAGATATCAAGTGTGAAAAATCGGGACAGGAGGTGGGGGGTAATAGGAGCCCATATAAAAAAAAGCCCCAAATATCGGGACTTTCCCTATAAAATCGGGACGTCTGCTCACCCTACTCATATTTAGCTTGTGGTCCACTATGATCCCGACATCCCTTTCCGCCGTACTCCTTCCTGGGAGGTCATTTCCCATTTTGTATGTGTGCAACTGATTGTTCCTTCTTAACTGGAGTACTTTGCATTTGTCCTCATTGAATTTCATCTTATTTATTTCAGACTATTTATCCAGTTTGTCCAGATAATTTTGAATTTTAATCCTATCCTCCAAAGCACTTGCTACCCCTCCCAGCTTGGTATCCTCTGCAAACTTTATCAGTGTGCTCTCTATGCCATTATCTAAATCATTGATGAAGATATTGAACAGAACCAGACCCAGAACTGATCCCCGCGGGACCCCACTCATTATGTCCTTGCAGCATGACTGTGAACCACTGACGATTACTCTCTGGGAATAGTTTTCCAACCAGTTATGCACCCACCTTATAGTAGCTCCATCTAGGTTGCATTTCCCTAGTTTGTTTATGAGAAGATTATGCGAGACAGTATCAAAAGCTTTACTAAAGTCAAGATATAACACGTCTAACACTTCCCCCCTATCCACAAGGCTTGTTACCCTGTCAAAGAAAGCTATCAGTTTGGTTTGACATGATTTGTTCTTGACAAATCCATGCTGACTGTTACTTATCACCTTATTATCTTCTAGATGTTTGCAAATTGATTTCTTAATTATTTGCTCCATTATCTTTCCGGGTTCAGAAGCTAAACTGACTGGTCTGTAATTCCCCGGGTTGTCCTTCTTTCCCTTTTTATAGATTGGCACTATATTTGACCTTTTCCAGTCTTCTGGAACGTCTCCCGTCTTCCATGACTTTTCAAAAGATAATCGCTAATGGCTCAGATATCTCCTCAGTCAGCTCCTTGAGTATTCTAGGATGTATTTCATCAGGCCCTGGTAACTTGAAGACATCTAACTTGTCTAAGTAATTTTTAACTTGTTCTTTCCCTATTTTAGCCTCTGATCCTACCTCATTTCACTGGCATTCACTATGTTAGAAGTGCAGTCCATGTGGACAATGAACATCTCGAGAACCGTAGTTACTATAGGACAGCTGTTCTTTTTCTGGCTGCCAGTCCTGCAAGTTCAATTTGAGATCTGAGAATCAAGCTGAGTTTTCCTTCTTGGTCATCATCACTAATAATAAAGGTTCTTCAGGTCAAATTGCATGCTGCATAGTCCCATTGTCTGATGGGTTTGTGCCAATGTAATTGATTGGAGCTTAGTAAACAGCGCATTTGCTGGTGTACAAGAAGGAATGAAATATTTCTCTTAGCTATATTGGTTCTGCACAGTTAACAAGAACAAAACTTTTGTGACCCTAAGTAAGCAGATAGGACTGTGAATATACACAGGGAGCAGTTTCATTGAGTACTATTTTTATATTGTCTCTTTTCAGAGCAGAATTGCATCTAAAAAATGATACATAGTTTTAGTTCTTTCATAACTCAGATATCTCAAGGGATTTTGCTCAAACTTCCAAAAATATTTCACCTTTGGCTGACATCAAGCATGGACGTTTTGAGCCCCAAAGGAGATCGTTATGAGACAATTGTGAATGTTAAAATAAGGCTACAATGGACATCTGCACAAAATCGTAACTGGCTTCACTGCCAGTTGTAACAGCCTCACACATACCATGCAGTGTTTCAAACCCCCCTTAGGGAGTGTGCATGAACAGCTTGAGTGGATATTTGTAAGCAGGTATACATTTGTAGCTCATGTTTTCTAAAGGGCTTCTTTCTCCTTCTGTTCTGAAGGTCCCTTTCCTTGAACTTCATGGTGAGAGCACAGAGTATGTGGGACGAGCAGAGGATGCCATTATTGCACTTTCTAATTACAGACTGCACATCAAATTCAAGGAGTCTGTTGTGAATGTAAGTTTCATTCATACTACCGCCATGATACAGGCATTCTGAATGAATTCAGATATTGTTCACTCTGCTTATGTGTTATAACCCTTCCACTCCTGTGTATATCTTGTCTATTTAGATGGCTAGCTCTTTGGGGCAGAGGCTGTCTGCTATTCTGTGTTTGCATAGTGCCTAGCACAGTGAGCCCTATTCTTGATTGGTCTTTAGGCACCATCGTAATAACAGTTATTAAGGCTACAAATCTGTCACAGAGATAATGGCTGTATGCACTGCTACAGGCTGGAGACTGACTGGCTAAGCGGCAGTTCTGCAGAAAAGGACCTGGGGAATACAATAGATGAGAAACTGGATATGAGTCAACAGTGTGCCCTTGTTGCCAAGAAGGCTAACAGCATATTGGGCTGCAGTACTAGGAGCATTGCCAGCAGATCGAGGGAAGTGATTATTCCCCTCTATTCGGCACTGGTCAGGCCACACCTGGAGTACTGCGTCCAGTTTTGGGCCCCCCACTACAGAAAGGATGTGGACAAATTGGAGAGAGTCCAGTGGAGGGCAATGAAAAGGATTAGGGGGCTGGGGCACATGGCTTACGAGGAGAGGCTGAGGGAACTGGGCTTATTTAGTCTGCAGATGAGTGAGGAGGGATTTGATAGCCTTCAACTACCTGAAGGGGGGTTCCAAAGAGGATGGAGCTCGGCTGTTCTCAGTGGTGGCAGATGACAGAACAAGGAGCAATGGTCTCAAGTTGCAGTGGGGGAGGTCTAGGTTGGATATTAGGAAACACTATTTCACTGGAAGGGTGGTGAAGCACTGGAATGGGTTACCTAGGAAGGTGGTGGAAGCTCCATCCTTACAGGTTTTTAAGGCCCGGCTTGACAAAGGCCTGGCTGGGATGATTTAGTTGGGGATTGATCCTGCTTTGAGCAGGGGGTTGGATTAGATGACCTCCTGAGGGTTCCTTCCAACCCTGATATTCTATGATTCTATTGAAAATCCTAATAATTCAGCCCTGTATGGCTCTGGGCTGCAGAGGTTGGGCTTGAGCCCTGTGGGGCTTGGACTTTGGCTTCAGCCCTGGGCAGCGGGGCTTGGACTTCAGTACTGATGTAGTGAATACTGCATTACTGTGTATATTTCCATGATTTATTGTTCTTTGTCCGCATCCTGTCCATGAGTTTTATTAAAAATACCCGTGCCAAAATCTTAGCCTTAACCATGATTAATAATAATATGGGAATTCAGAATGAAGGGTACAATGAACCTTCTCTTTAGGTTACCTGAAGGGGATAAAACAGGTTAGGATGGCAAGAGCATTCTCTACAGAGAGCAAATTCATACTTAGTTACTATAATAAGAAGCCTAATTTTCAGAGGTGCTGAGCACTCAGCAGTTTCTGTTGACATCAGTAGAACTATGGATGCTCAACATCTTTCCAAATCCTATTTAGGAGCCTAACTTTAGGCACCCATTTTTGAAAATTTTGTCATGTGTGTCCAGGTTCTGACAATATAAAACGTGATTTACATAGCTTTTGTGCAGTCTTTTAAGTTACTAAATATAATGCTGACAAATAATCTGTGTAGTCTGACTGGCTAAAATATCAGCCATTAATTATATAGAACTACCTGGTACTTTGCACACAGTACAGAAGTATACACATTGCACACTTGTGATAAAACAAAACCAGCAAATTAAATAAAAGTATCAAAATGCTTAATTTATGAACCACCTCCCTAGACATTTCCTGAAGATTGCCTGTTCGGAGCTAATGTCATCGACTGCTGCGAGCTAATCAGGAAATGCCCATTGCTGAGATGGTTGTTAAACAGCATAAGTAGTAATGTTATTTTAGTGCTGACAAAAAAACAAAGAAATTCAAACATAAGTTCGACAATTGTCCTCCACTCAGTTAATTGTAGTACATGTCACAAAGTAATCTGGGACATCTGCTGTATTTTTTGGATACATAACTTTGGTTCTTGATGGTATGTTAGCTTTATTTTATGATGGTATGTCAGTCTTAACGTCGAGTGTTTCTTTTATCAGTTTGTGGCAGAGCCAGTAATGTTACTTAATTTTTTTTTTATCATTTGCATGAAACTTTTTACCAGTATTCTAAAACTAAAGCTTCATGCAAATACATATTATACTAGGTAGATTATAATAGCTCTAATAATGTACATATGATTTGTGGATTTTTAAAAACTACTCCAAAGACATAATTATAATTGATCGTGTAAATTTTTTTAGTTCATGAATTGTGGACGTGAGAAATTATACTGGTATATTTGTCAGACTAGCGTAACTTCCATCCATGTACTCTGTCCATGTGCTAAAAATAGCAGTGCGAGGGTTTTGGGGGAAAGTGTCTCTTTGTTTTTCTGGGTTTAGTATATTTTCCTCACTATAAGGGCAAAAATTTGCAATAAGGGTCAGATCTTCAGTTGCAGCTAAGGAGCACGCAAGACAGAGATGTATGAGTGTGCATGTGCACAAAGTTAGTGTAAAGTTTATTTTTCATTTTGGAGCCAATCTTTTAATGTAAACTAGGAGCAACCTTTGGGATGCTCTAAGTTGCTACAGCTGTTAATAACCCACAAGGAGCAGAATGATGGCCAGGGATCAGCAAGACATAGAAAAGCCTCAACTGCACCCCTTTTGCTTCCACCAAGCCACCCTCTCTCCTCTGTGCTGGCAGCAGAAAGGGAGGAGTGACATAGGAGCTACACTGCAGAGGATTCCCTGACACTGAATAACCCTCCTGGGGTCACATAAGCTAGCTTTGTGGCTAGATTCTGTTGGTGGTGGTACAGAATGGCTTCACTGGCTTTGCGAACAGAGGCTGCTGCTTTGCTAACAGGGGCTGCTAAAAGGGAGTTTCACAAGGGAGTTTGGAAGGGGAGTGGGAAGGGAGCGAGGGTCCCTTGCCGGTTCTGTTTCCCTTTATTCCCCTTAAAACCTATAAACCAAACTACATTCAAAACTTCTTGCTTTAAACAACCCTTTCATTAACTGGGAGACAATGCAGGCAGAAGCCCAGCTGCAGAGTGGGGGCTATCCAGTTTATTGCACTGAGTGCAGCATGTATGATTACCTGCCCTGTGGGCGGGTGGCGTATGTGTGCATTCGGTGCAAGGAGCTCCTGGCCCTCAGAGACCACGTACGGACTTTGGAGGCCAGGGTAGCGGAACTGGAGGAGCTAAGGGAGGCAGAGAGGTATGCTGATGAGGCTTTCCGGGACACTGTAGAATTGTCCCACCTCCGGTCAGACAGCCCCTGTGCTGTTGAGGAGGATGAAAGGCCCAGGGAAGCAGAGCAGTTAACGGGAGCAGAGGGAAACCTTCCCATAGTTGGGACCCTCCTTCCAGATGGTGCTGGGGTTGCCTCTCGCACTGAGGTTACCTCTCCGGGGGAGGGAACTCCAGTTGCTAGGAAAAGGCAGGTGTTAGTAATGGGAGATTCGATCATTAGAAACGTAGATAGCTGGGTTTGTGATGACCGGGAGAACCGTATGGTGACTTGCCTGCCTGGTGCGAAGGTTGCGGATCTCTCGAGGCATCTAGACAGACTTATGTGTAGTGCTGGGGAGGAGCTGGTGGTCGTGGTACATGTAGGTACCAATGACATAGGGAAGGGTAGGAGAGATGTCCTGGAGGCCAAATTTAGGCTGCAAGGGAAGAGACTGAAATCCAGGACCTCTATGGTGGCATTCTCAGAAATGCTCCCAATTCCATGCACAGGGCCAGGTAGGCAGGCAGAGCTTCAGAGTCTCAATGCGTGGATGAGACGATGGTGTAGAGAGGAGGGGTTTACATTCATTAGGAACTGGGGAAACTTTTGGGATGGGGGAGCCTATACAGGAGAGATGGGCTCCACCTAAACCAAAGAGGAACCAGACTGCTGGCACTAAACATTAAAAAGGTTGTAGAGCAGTTTTTAAACTAGGAGATGGGGGGAAAGCCGACTGCTGCAGAGGAGCATGTGGATCGGACAGAGACTTCTCTTAGGGGAGAGTCTAATGATAGAGAATCTCCAGGTTATAGTCAGAAGCAGAGGATGGAAGAGGATAATGTAAGGGCCACATTCACATAAAAAAGAATCTGACACATCAGAAAAGGGCAGACAAATAAACAGTGACAAGTTTTTAAAGTGCTTGTACACAAATGCTAGAAGTCTAAATAATAAGATGGGTGAACTAGAGTGCCTTGTGATAAAGGAGGATATTGATATAATAGGCATCACAGAAACCTGGTGGACTGAGGACAATCAATGGGACACAATCATTCCGGGGTACAAAATATATCGGAAGGACAGAACAGGTCGTGCGGGGGGGAGTGGCACTATATGTGAAAGAAAATGTAGAATCAAATGAAGTAAAAATCTTAAGTGAATCCACATGTTCCATAGAATCTCTATGGATAGAAATTTCATGCTCTAATAAGAATATAACATTAGGGATATATTATAGACCACCTGACCAGGACAGTGATAGTGATGATGAAATGCTAAGGGAAATTAGAGAGGCTATCAAAATTAAGAACCCAATAATAGTGGGGGATTTCAATTATCCCCATATTGACTGGGAACATTTCACTTCAGGACGAAATGCAGAGATAAAATTTCTCGATACTTTAAATGACTGCTTCATGGTGTAGCTGGTACGGGAACCCACAAGGGGAGAGGCAACTCTAGATTTAGTCCTGAGTGGAGCGCAGGAGCTGGTCTAAGAAGTAACTATAACAGGACCGCTTGGAAATAGTGACCATAATACAATAGCATTCAACATTCCTGTGGTGGGAAGAACATCTCAACAGCCCAACACTGTGGCATTTAATTTCAAAAGGGGGAACTATGCAAAAATGAGGGGATTAGTTAAACAGAAGTTAAAAGTTACAGTGATTAAAGTGAAATCCCTGCAAGCTGCATGGGCGCTTTTTAAAGACACCATAATAGAGGCCCAACTTCAATGTATACCCCAAATTAAGAAACACAGTAAAAGAACT